TTTTCTTCTTCTTCTTCATAGCACTTAGGGATTAAGCTTGTAACTCCATTCAACACTTGGATTTTGGGACTAAATGTAAGTTTCTCTCTTTTAATTAATTTATAAAAATGGTTGATTTTAGGAGAGTGATTAATTGTGTTGGATTGATTTTACGTAGCTAATTCTTATTGCTAAGGATAGGGGATGATTGTTCTTGTTTAATTCGTATCTCTCGGGCTTGAGTTGTTCGTTCTTATGTGAGTTGAATTGATTAGGAATTGATGAATTTGTGCTTAATTGATTGATATAATCGAAGAGTGACACTTCGATCTTGCAATTGTAAACAATTGAATATTAATTTGTTGAGTTGGGATTTGTTGATTCTTCATGGTTAGTCGATTAATACCCTTCTAATTGAATTAGCGACTTTTTGAACCGAAAGGGGAGAGGTCATAGATCTAGGCTCACATGAGGTAGATGATTTCGTAATTGAATAGTCTATAGGTTTTTGATTGAAATACGTGCGTGTCGATGACCCGTCCCTTGTTACGAAATGTTAGTGGGATTGGGATAGTTGACTTGTGTTGTATGCTCGAGCTTCTACGTCTATGTTCCAACCCTTGTTACGAAGAGTTATTGGGAGCGAACCGCTAGATGTCTAAGCGAGAGTGTCAATCTCGAACCGAACAATGAATTGTCCGATTTTGCTAGAACTTGAATTAATTGTCCCCGATTCCCTAGCTTCTCATTTTCTGTTTCGTTCTTATTCTTAGGTAGATTTATATTTTTGCATGTTCTTTATTTCTTAGCTGAAAATACCCAATTCATCTTGATTAGAGTGTTTAGGATTTTATTTTCTTTTTATGTGCTATTGATACCAAAGCTGAATTCCGAACCGCCTTCCTCGTGAGATCGACCCGGGGATGAATCTTTCGATTCAGTACTCGGTAAAAAAAAATAACAATGTGTGCAACAACAAAAATACTTATTTAATATCCATGTTTCGTGCATCACACGGGATACATACTAGT